AACATTGTCGTATTCTTTAAAGTAGGTGGAGGTGGTTACTTCGCAAAAGACGTAATTCGTTGGACGGTATACCTAGTAGGTAGGCCACAAGGACCACCTTCGCTATCCCGTCATTTAAAGTATCATTAAATTAAACCTGATTTTTAAGTTGCTTTTTTCTCAACTAAACCAAATCAAACAACAACAAGGTATTTAAGCTTATTTTAATGCTTATCGAAATATTTGTTTATATTGGGAAAAATGACATTTCAAACTTTGGATTTGTTTCTTTTTTTGTTTTACCATGCTGAAATAATCAGATAAGAAAATAAGTCTAGAAATATATTTGTTCGTTCATTTTTAAGTAGATATGTTTTCCGCGAAAAAAAAGCACAACAGAATGAATGAATGAATGAATAATAGTGTAGAAAATTTAGACAAGATACGACTGAAAGTCATGTGAATCGTTAAGCAACGATATGATAAATAGGTAATGAATTGAAAATAAATTTTCAGACGAAACGATATTAGATTGAGAGTTACAAAACATCAGAAAGAATTCAACACACTGATTCAGGATTCCTTAAAAATGAGCGCGAACTTATATAACTATGTGGGATTGAGGTCGATTTCATTAAGTCCCGTAATGATCATAGTGGTTTTAGGCAATTATAGACAGCATCACTGACCAACTTCAGTCAACTTATGGTATGTTGTGGTTATTATTTCACTCATAGCATAGTTGACTAGATAGGTGTTATGTTTTAGGCTGGGTTCATTCCTGTATTGATAGCTGATCTACATAGCAGATGAATTCCAAACCAGAATTGAACAGCTATACAGTGTTGTTTAGTTTTCAACAGTTCTCTAGCTTTTTTTACAGTGAATCTTGCTATGTGTCAAAGATTCCTCCTACAATTTAACAGAATATGCTTACAACTATAAAATATATTATGCCGATGACAAATTAACAATGCATAGAGACATATGAGACCTTCTTATTAAAGGTGAATTTAATATAGTATTATTTCCGTAAAGATTAAACCACTTATCTATCATGGGCAGTATTATAATGGTCGTTAGAAAACCAGTTTAAAAAAAACGGGGTACAACCACGTGTAAATTCAGCGTGATTTGTGTTCAGTATTATATCCATCTCTAATTCAGCGTCATAATTATTTGGCATAACATTCATTTAACTTCAGAATGACATTTGTGCAATGTAGTATTCTTCATATTAATTTGGTATGGATTTCGATCAGTATAAAATGCAACACGGGTTTTACACTAATTCAATGTAAAATCTCCCTATACGTTTCCCGTATTTTGAACATGAGGTATTACATACACATAGCTCCTTTTATTCTCGTGAAGAAAGCACGAATGTTCTTCCTTAAATCCTAAAATTTTGTTCAAATCATTCTTTCAAATGACCAAACTATTACGTCTTTTCATTTCCAGTGTCTTCTAGATTAGCAATCTTATTTTAACTGGCTGATTTTATTCTTTCTTATTATCAGGGTTTATCTTTTACATAACTCCTTGTTTCTAGCTCTTTTGTTATCATCGGTGTTGTGTAACCTTCTTAAACATAAGATTCATTGATGTGTGGGCGAGGATGATAGTGATTAGTTGTTTGCGTAGTCAGATATATATATATTCCCCTATCCTTATAATTATTATTGTTGATCGTTCATTGCTGTCGGGTTTTGGTGTGGAAATGTATTTACGTTCTGATCAGGCTAATCACATTCCTGAAGTTCTGTAGAATAGACACTGGGAGGGAATCTGGTGTAGATATTCATCTAAGGTAGATTTACGTCCACGTAAACGTGGAAAAGCCAACTGTTATAACATATATATTTACAATATTTTAGTCTATTAAACTTATTTACATCCTTAATATGGTACACTGCGTGATCATAGCAACTTCCAACCAAATTTCTTTATGTACGCATTGTGAACTCATTTTGTAATAGTGATTTTCAAATATTAGATGTTGTAAGTAGCTGATTAGAACCAAACGAAATAAAAATGAATTCATGATGTTCCGCTCAAATTTGTTATCTCATAATTAAAATGTCAGTAAAATCAGTATATAAATAGGGATACTTAGTTAAATCATTTGTCCAATTTTTGGAGGGTGTATAGAATCCTTATGACACTGGTCTTTGTCTTCTTCTGTGTCATGTGAATTGAAGTGTTCAATTATCAGGAATCACCTTCCAGGGTTATAACACTATCTACGAAAAAGCCTCCATGGATATGTCAGTATTTAAGTTACTACACTATATGTCAAGTTTAAGGCAAATGTAGGTTTATAAAACGAACGCTCTCCGAAGTCGAAAAAATATGTGTAGACAACACTAAAGCTGTTCAGTGGAACACCATTACATGATTTATACCGGCTGAACTCCATAGGGTAGCGTGAAAGTTGTGAGACGTCGAAGTTGATTACGTTTTTACGTATGGAAATTATAATTATTATCTTACTGTACATAAGGTAAATCGGACAGTTTTATGTTTGGACGAGCCCTAACTTACCCGACCGAAGCTGCTACCTTGACACGGTGGTCGGGCTTGCCTATCGTGATGACCCAACCGAGGTATATTAGCTGGAACATATGTTCCTGTAGGTTCTACCATGCCAGGCAGGTCGATTGGTGAACGGTAAGACTAAAAGCAGCAACTCAAGGTCTGAGGGCGAAGTCGCACTGCTGACTGTAGAGAGGTGTGATAGCAGTAAGGTGTTTCCCTCAGACAACCAGCATGACAGCGATGCTGCCTTCCCACAAGGAGGGGTGGGGTTAGAAAAGGTCGACCCTAAAAATGTCACACGTCACCTTACCTCACGGATTTCCGTCTCCGGCGGTAAGGCCCTTTGAAGAACGGAGCTAACACGTCAAAAACCCTCCACAAAAAGGCAGTGCGTGACCGGCCTCAAGCAGTTGTTTCTTGGGCTCTGCGGTCACGCTCCCAGGTCGTCAAGACCAACACTAATCCAATTTCCTTTTCAGGTTCCTTCCACGGTGTGGGCAGCCGGGAAGTGACATCAGCCCTCATACCCGTAACAGCACACGAGACAAAGTTGGTCACATTCAAATCCTTCCTACACCTCCTAATACCTCTTTTATCTCCATGACTAACCCTCCTTGTGTCTCTTTATCACATCGCACCGCTAGGGCAAACGATTCGAGTACGTGGAACGCTATTCCTGGTCTCCTGAAACCACGCTCTAAACTACACGTAGGAGTTTTAACGTCCGAAAACTGTGCCAAATAGGACAGCAGGCTTCCTTAGCTAGGACTTTAGAATCTCGCGCCATCGATGTGTGCTGCGTCTCCGAAACGCGCATACAAGATACGCGTAGCGTCCCACAATGGTAGTATTTCTCGACCTTGAGGCAGCATTCGACTCTGTTGATCGTGAGGTTCTATGGCAGTGTTTGTCACTGAAAGGAGTACCAAAGAAGTACATTAGCCTTATTCAGGCTCTCTAGTCGAACACAACTGGTAGAGTGAGAGCTTATGGCGAACTGTCATCAGAATTGATTACATCAAGTGGTGTTCGTCAGGGCTGTCCACTCTCTCCATTCTTGTTCAACTTTGTGGTCGACGTACTTTTAGAGATAACACTTTCCTCATCTAAATTTCCAGGGGTTGAACTTCTACCGGGAGGTTCACTTGTTGACTTAGAATATGCTGATGACATAGTTTTATTTGGTAAAGACGCTGACAAAATGCAGAGTCTTCTGACCATTCTAAGCAACAATGCAAGCATGTTCGGGATGCGATTCTCTCCCTCGAAATGCAAAATGTTGCTTCAGGATTGGGTTACATCGACACCCGAACTAATGATAGGGAGTGAAGTAGTTGAGTGTGTCGACCGCTTCACTTATCTTGGAAGTCTCATCAACCCTTGTGGTCTGGTGTGTGACGAAATCTCAGCACGGATACAGAAGGCTCGACTAGCTTTTGCCAACTAGCGTCATTTATGGCGTAGGCGAGATATCCGTCTATCAACCAAAGGACGGGTTTACTGCACTGCAGTTCGTCCCGTCCTACTTTATGGCTGTGAAACATGGCCGGTAAGAGTTGAGGATATTCGTAGGTTACTAGTATTCGACTATAGATGTATTCGAAACATTGCTCGTATATCATGGGACCATCGAGTAAGTAACACAGTTGTTAGGAAACGAGTACTAGGTAAGGATGGCAAATCAATTGATGAATTATTGAAACTTCATCAGTTGAGATGGCTGGGGCACGTGTTATGTATGCCCAACGACCGACTGCCTCGACGTACGATGTTCAGTGGTATAGGAGTAGGTTGGAAGAAAGCTAGGGGCGGCCAGACCAAAACATGGCACAAGTCCATGAAGTCACTGACAAGTGGTCTGAGTCATGTTGATAGGTATAGACTACCTGGTTGGGGACCGTGAGATGATAGCGACCGATGGTTAGAGACCCTGAATGACATGGCTCAAAATTGTTTGCAATGGCGCAGGTGCATCCACTCTTTGTGTTCTCCCAAATTCTAATCTTCTGAATTCTTCATGTCCCTTTTTTCCTCTTTCCAAATTTATTTCACTGAATTATACTCTTTAAATAACATCTCCAAACCCTAATCTTCCCGATCACTGCTTACACTCTCGCTACCTCTACCACTACGGGATTTGGATCGACAACTGCATCTCTGTGTTAAGGTGGTGTGGCAACTCGAACTGATGTACGTACGTACGAAGTTCTACGTTGTTACTGACTGACTGAGTGATGTTTGAATAATCAATGGAACCTCTAAGACAGGTAAATTCATGATATAATTCATAAAACATAGTTCATACTTTGATGAAATATAGACCATTGAGTCTATGAAATTATGTATTTATCGAGGAACTACATATAAGAAGAAGTAATCATAATATGAACTTGTTTTACTGTGAACAAATACATTTACTAGTCATCGTCTCCCAATTTTCTTCAGTTAAAATCCTTTTAAATAGCACAATGAGTTTTGTTGTTACAACTCCGTTTATTCAAATGAAAAAAAAGAACACGAGTTGAAGTATCATTCTATATGGTGTTAGGAATATACTTTGAAAAAAAAACATAATGAAAATCCACCAGTAGAATAATGATATATATATGAAGTATTAAACGATAAAATAAATACCAATGTTAGCAACAATGATAAGTAACAAAGAGTTCTACACATTTGAATAGAGATAAAAAAGAAATCTCATCAGAATATGTAGTTAAGCCATAAATTTGTAATGAAATGCAATATAGTTTTACTTTTATAGAAAATAATAATATTCAGAAAAGAAGCAAGATATTAAGAAGAAGAAAAGGAAGAGTTGGAAGGTACTCCTCAAAAAGCAAAAACATAGGACACTGTAGTGAACTATGGTAATCATAACAATGTTATGATTAAACTTTAGAATAAATAATTCACGTATACACAAACACAAACACACTAAATCATATATCAAATGGATAATTTATGATGATAGGAAGAACAACCTAGAAAAAAAGTATTCAATTTTCTTAACAAATTAACAATCGTAAGCTGTAATAAACGCAATGTTTTTTGTTTTACAAAAACTATTAAATATAATAATGATGATAACCATTGACTATGATGGCAGTTAATACTATATTGTATATCTGTAAACCGGTCTTCAACAATCTTAAAGATAAGAATCATTACAAAATGATGATAGAGAATAGGAGTGATAAATGAAATGCTTCTAGTTTTTAAGTAAATATAATGAAATGAACAGTTTGTTGTCTATTATTCAACTATCTGAAATACCATAAACAAAAAGAGAGAGAAGCCAATAACAAAATGAAAGAAGAACTCAACAAAAATATTTATTCTGTTGTCTCATTCAAATGGAAACATTAGAAAAGCACATGTGTACACACCAAGTGCAGATTTATACATAGACACATTTATAAAAAGCACTGATTTATTTAATTACATTACAACAAATGATGAAAACCTAGTAAGTGAAAATACACAAAATGTGACTCGAGGTTAGTGTGTGCATAGATCATAATAACAAAGAAGAAATTGACAAACATTGACTTAAATGAAGTCAAATAAAGAACAAACAAAGTATAAATCAGGTTTTTAAATGAATAATTCTTAACTATCTTAACAGTTCCTCTCTTAAAATGCTGTTATAATCATTATTATCGTAGAAAACATACCATTATTAAGTGGGATCAACAGAGACAGAGAAAAGTTAAGCAAACAACTCTACATTATACAATAAGAAATGGAAAAAAACGAGAGTAACAACTACAAGATAACAATAAAATGCATATATCAGAGTAAATCGTACAAATAGGGGTAGTGCGTCGTTTGTATATCAGTAAGTTGAACAGATATACTCATAGACTTATACACTCACACACACAAATGTACGTAGCCTGTAAACTAGGGCAACAACAATACCAAATCAACTTTGTCTATCATTACCACAATGACGTTTTATCAGAAGCACAATATGTTGATAATAATAATATAATGTGTCCATATAAATAAACAGAACATTAAGATGATTTACACCAAAGAACAATTTCAACAGACTACTTATTATCAACATTATGGAATGTTAGGTGAGCATTGTTTAGTTGTATTAATAATATTCTTTATTATTTGATTAAATATGGAGAAAGAACGGTAAAAATGTGGAAAAGAAAACAAAAGAGAAAGAAGTAAGGTAAGCGAACAAATATTTCATTCAATCGATGAAGATGTTGAAGATGATCATCAATCGGTGGTTCATTATGGTTTAACTAACAATTTCGAATAGAAGATGCACGAAGAGCTAAAAGAAAAACGAAAAGAGAACAGAAATACGTAAAAACCTGTTGAGATATTCAGGAAAATATCCCAGAAATTATCCTATTAATTCTAATGCTATTCTTGGACTTGGACATGGTATGATTTTCTTATTGGTCAGTACTTATTTCACGTGTTATTTTCCTACTGGTCAATATTGTACAATGTTATTTTCTATTTTATGGTATGTTGTGGTCTGATTGATTGGTATATAAACAAAGTATGTTTGAAATGTAATGATTCATATATCCGAGGCTGCGTTCTGGACTCAACTGCTGGGCTAGATAGGGAAGCGGGACCAATCAGAACCCAAGGTCGTTCTACGTGTTTGTGCGTCTTTGGTCCGATCGATAATTCGCTACCCTCTTATCTGCTGCCGTCTCACGGTTATAGCAAAACCGATAAGTAAATGAATAGAAATTACGTACAATTTTAACCTATAGTGAATTTTCATGGAATATATCACACATTGATCTTATTCAGACCATTATTGAAAACCCGGAAGCATTGTTCATTTATTTCCTCTGAACAGTGCACTTCCACGACTTCAAAGGAGATCTCAAACCCAAGACCCTCGAGCTGGCGAGTTAGCCACGAGCCATGTTTTGATTTTAACCATTTTGCGATACTGTGTGATTACCTTCCATTACTTATGGTGGATAATTGTCTCACACTCGATATGTTGGAACTAAATTAGTAAAGGCTATTTTTTTAATGATTACCTCTACAACTCACTATTGACAAGGTGTATAAAAATGGTGTGATCAACGATGAGGACAAGTGAATGATACTTGAATAAATAACTAGAGAAACTTTATGTATACTAACTTGATATTGTGCTTAGTGGTAAATCATTTCTGTCAAATAATAAATAAAAGCTAATTAGCTATTGTTTTCAAAGATATTATTCAATCAAAAATACAAATTCCCAAATAGTAATTAAATGTAACCTATACATCACTCAAAAAACAGAAAAAAGAAAAGTCAAGATCACCTTCGATTACGTCATTTTTTAATTGTTGAACTTCTCGACGAAATTCCGATATTAATTCACGTTTAAATGCTTCTAAATCAGCTCGATTTACTGTTGTACTCCCACTATTGGAATTATTAGTTGAACAAGAGTTGGATAAAGAATTAATTGTTGTTGAATCCAAAGATGGACTGGAAACTTTTCGTCTAGAAATAGTAAATGTATAATAATAATTATTTATTTGAAACAAAACTGGTGTGTGAAGATGAAAATTTATATTTTTATTTAAAACAAATAGGTATCTGAATAAACACAATATATGTATAATACAATTGTTGACTTTTTAAGAACGATATTTTGTACAAAAATTAGTAATTGTCAGCAATAAGAGCTGAATAATATTGTGCTCCCTGAAATGACTGAATAACTATCAGTCAGTCTGCTACAACTTAGAACCAAGTACATATATGCACTAGTCAACGTTGCCGTACCTCATTAGCACAACAAGATCAACATCGAATCCATAGACATAGTTACTTCAATGGTAGTAATATATGAAAGAAAGATTGTGTATACGGATATAATACAGGAGGAAAGAACTAGTTTGTAGAAAGAAAGGTATGAAGTAATTTTAATTTCACGCTTTAAGGGGAGACGAAGAGTGTATACACCTACATCTTTGTGATCGATTCTGAACCATGTCACACAGAGTCTTCAAACATTGGTTACAATAGTCGCGAGGATCTAAACCAATTAATCTGCATCTATCAACATAGCTCAGACCCGAAGTGTGTGACTTCAAAGATTAATGCCATGTTTTGGTTTGTCCGCTTCTAACTTTCTACCATCCGTCTCCAAAACTAGTCAGCATTAATATAATTATAGAATTTCTATTGTCATTCTGAACAACATTGTCATCTACACTTAAATTAAGAATGGAATTTCAAAATTATTTTACAAGCGCAACATATAATTTTGATTACATATATCTATTGGTGAATTGTTATTGCATGTATGGCTGTTTTGATACACTTTTGTGTTCTTGTTGACTTTTTTATTCGATTGACCACCACTGAATATATTATGATTGACTGAACTATTATTCTGTATTATTGGATATATTGGATTTATATTGATGAACCTACTGATTGAAGATAAGTCAAGATATTTTTATAAATTGTCTGGTGTTTAAAATTTCCTTAATTCAAAATTTTGGAAATCTCCTTAATCTAATTAATTTTACTACTATGTGATAACAAGTGAATCATTCAATTCACAAAAAGCAACACTACCAACAAGTTACAAATCTTCACTATCAGAAGACAATGTCATATAAATCCACTTGAAATTTATATCATTTCAAGAGTTGAAATCAAATCACTCAGGTAGAGTAATTGTAAATGTTGCTATTAAACTTTGTGAGTGATTGAGTATGTTGAGGTCAAAAAGTAAGCAATCTTGCGGTTCAACGTAGAGTACCAGGTAAAGATGGTGAATTATTCAATGAAGAGGCAAATCTTCATCAACTGAAATGATAGGGACGTGTTTTGCGCATGCCCAATCCCTGTAGACGTGGCCAGGCGATGTTCTCTCCTACAGAAGTAGGTTGGAAGAAAACAAGGGCCGGTCAAACTAAAAAAGTGGTATTCGTCCACAAAGTCTGAGCTATGTAAACAGATGCAGATCACTTGGTTACTGTTCATGCGATAATCATGATCAGTAGCTCGATACTTCGGGTGACACAGCTCAGAACCGTTCGCAATATCCAAGGTGCATTCACATTTTGTTTTCCCTTAGATCTCAAGTTTTTAAACTATCTAATAATTGCTTTTATTCCACGAACTCATATTTTATCTCCATACTATAACTTCTATGTCTAGACGTTTTGACAGCTGCTGATAGCATACCATTTCTGCTTCTACTACTCTGGCATTTACCTTATTAATCTCATTTAGTTATGTTAATGTGGTAAGGCAAATTGAATTGGATTTGTATGAGGTTATAAGTCCAATATCGTCATGACCAACGAAGCGCTACTCAGCAATTTGCGTGTTAAGTTTATGATAAATAAAGAAAATTCTAAGAGTTTTATTTTCACTGACTTCCGAATCATCACTTTCATTGGAGAACATTGAAATGAGTAGAGAGGAGAAAACATAACTGTGAATAAATTTGATAAATTTTCTTATTTGGGTGCTTGTTAATAACGTCCTAGACATTTCCTATATTTACAGCTTACTTCTGAACTAGGAAAACTAAACTAAGAAAAGGCATGCAATATAATTAAAAAGTATATTCTAAGGTTAATCTATGTTCAGAAAAACGGGATTATTTATAGGTTCACGGATGACCTTGGTATGCTAGAAACTTCTGGAAGCATCTTTGTCGATGGATATTTATTGACTTAATAAAAACCAAGGCGACCAGACACATGTTAAGATTATTTTAAATTCTCTAGTAACAAAATGTGCAAAAATATAACCACTTAAAAAAGAAATAACGTATAATAATACCTCTCACATTACTTACAATGTAGCATAACCAGGTACAATGGATGAACTAGTATTTGTGGAAGAATTCTGACCTTGAAACGCGTTTGTTATGACAGAATGTGAACGAACAGGAGAACTAGGAGTTGGTAGATCACTATTTGAGTTACTAACTGTTGTTGATGTCGAAGTGTTATTACTTGATGTAGAAATAACGCCAGTTGTAGCATTCGAATCCTAAATTGCAGTAAACATTTAGTTAGAAAGGAGAGTTTTATGAAACACATAATGATTATGTAACCAATAAACCATGCATTTAAAGAAACATTAAATGATCCCATCAAGTCAGAGATAGTTCTTCTACATACAACTAAACAATAATTCACTAATTATCTATCATTTATGAAATAAAGAACATCTACTTCAAAAGATCAAATATAAAAAAGTGATAGAAACGTAAGCTGGGCAGTCTTGAAGAAAGTTATTTTTTGAGAGGAAAAACTACAAATGAAACCAAGTACGTTAACGCATTCTAATTTTTTTAAAATATCATCCCGTAAGAGAGTAGTAATATATATATATATCAATTATATCAAGTTAATTTAAAAGACAACATATATTACGCAACATAAATTGATCAGAATGAGAATAAAATATGGTTGATTTTGAGTTTCTTTTCATTCTTACGTAAGGCTAACACCTAAAACTAAGTAAGTGGAACAATGTGTATACATTAATTGATTTACTGATTGGAAAATAAGACCTTAGAGACTATACTGTTTACGATTGAGAACGTGATATTTATACCAATTTATTAAGATGGTATTACAGTGTTTAATATTCATTCTAGATATTATAAATATTATAATAATGAATAAAAACGAATATTATTTTATTGTAAACATTGAAAACTATTTTGTTTATTTACTATAAGGAGAAAAACAAACGTTACTAGGTTAAACAGAAAACGGTTACTAACATATATATATATATATATATATATATATATATATATATATATATATATATATATATATATATAAGCCATGTAAACCACACACTGTTTCAACTGTTGCCTTATCATGGTTATGCAACTTGATTTCAGTAAACCGACTACTATAGAATTATCAACATATTCCTAGTAATCAGTAATTATATTATTATTACGCCTCAAAATACAACAGTTGTAACATATAGAATACATAAAATAACTTTTATAAAAGTTATATGTATAAATTCCCGCTGTTTTCACACAACGTGAAAGTTTGCTGTTGTACTGTCTATTGGATTTATTTGAACTACTGTAAGTGGGATGTAACTAACCAGGGTACTGTTGGGCTATCTAAAGCCAATTACTACAAAATTATTTAATATTGATTCTGGGTTTTTTTTGTTCATATTAGGAACGGTCAGAATGATCCAGATGTATTTACTTTGAATTTAAAAATTATCTCATACTTTCCTATTCAATGAACTTGATCTTTCTTGTCAAGTTATATTGTCTATACTTAATTTTTTCTACTCCAACTGATACTCTTAATACTGCTACTACTATGGGATTTGTCTTGACTGTACTGATATGATATAGCAACTTGAACCAATAAGCATGCATGCCAGATTCTGCATTGCTTATGAGTAAAGGGGAAGAAAAAAACAGCGAATTTGATGAAAGCATAGTAGTAGTACTGAAATTATACCTTGAAACGTTTCTGTTCATTGATGACTCTAACAACTGAAACGAAACATACATATTTCATTTTGAAGCAACTAACAATTGTGAAAACTAACAGACACCATGAACGGTTAAAAATGAGAACACAAATATGTAGGTAAATGAATGTTTTCATGAGTATAGGGGGAAAATATTGCATATTGGTAAAATAACTAGTGGATAAATATTTAAAGATACAAAAATGACTTCGTCAAAGAAGCATACTAAGATATGGAGTCTTAGGAAACCAATCGACTATTACTGGAAAAGGAGTTTAACAAACAGTGTGAAGGCGGTTGTGAACAGAGAAACAAAGAAGCTATGACAAACAAAGGAAGCTGTTTTTAGAGGAATTAATTTCACTTAATTTAAAGTTTGTAAAATACTAACTTAGTTTTGTTCATAGTTAATTCTATAAAACATAAGCCTTCGTTCGATGTATGATTCACTGCCATACCCTTTTCTGTTCCAAAGGTATTGTAATTTAGACGTAACCTTTGGTACTCTATTTTCCTACCCCAATGGCCAGTCTGGGTATAATTGTATTTTTCTAATTGTTTGTGCGTTGTGGTCATGTTAGTCATCTATTTATTCATGTATCTTTTTTGCACTAGTTTGAATCTGAATTGGGAATATGTTGAGTAGTATTCCAGTTGACTCAACTTCTTTCTCTCTCACCTGTCAACCAATCAGGTGACAGAATAGTTTTCGTCTCTCTACCCAAGACGGTCGCGATTCGAACCCACGCGTTTTAGCCTTAAGGTTAAGCCAGTTATCTTATCGTGTCAAGGCCTTAATCCAGATCGACACAAGTTCTCTACTGTATACTATTAGATTAAGGACGTAACACTTATCCAATTAAAAATTGTAGTAAATAAAAAACGAACTTAAAACAACTATGACAAATTTTCATCTAGTTCTTAGTCAATCACAAAACAATATAAGTAGATAGTTTATGGAAAAGAGAACAATAATATTAGCAAGTGTAAAAAGGGGTGTACATATTTAATAAGGCTATTGAAGTCTTCAACACAGGTTAACCTGTCATTAAATCGGAAAACGACAACTAAGCCACGTCCTTATAGGGAACTCAATTATCCATTTATCAAAGATTTCTAAAGTCCTCACACTGTTTTTAATTTAGGATTGTGTACTCAGGTTAAAAATTAGAGATTTAAGGTTAGGATTGATTGAAGTGATTTTACAAGCAAGCCAAAGACAAAATGACAAAAAAAGCGAACATTATCTACCAAATAAACTGTTCTAACTGCAAAAAACACTAAATCGGACAAACTACATGCTCTCTTCATCTTCATCTACACGAACATCAATTACCCGTCAAACGCCATGACATAATATTCGCTTATATCAATGCATATGGACAACTGTGGACATACATTCGACTGGGAAAATGTCGAGATCTTCAATAGAGGCAAGTCTAAAAACACCAGAATGTTTTTAGAAGCTTGGCACTCAGGTCAATCAACAAGCACATTAAAATCAATCCAATCTATCGACCCTGTTCCTGCATTATACTTTTACAAGTAGAAAATTCAGTAACATTTCGAAAGTATATTACGAATATATGGTTGACTTCTAGTCAATCTAGTCAATAAAAGACCAACAACCTGAGCTCTAGGATAGACAAGTACAGATAAAACAAAAAAAACAATAGATGTTTGACATGAAAAACTTTATATTTGTTTTGAACGCGAGCATGGTCATAGAGTGGATCGAATTGAAACAAATTAGAGATAAACACAGACTAGCATAAGAAAAAGGGATAAGAAATAAATGTCAATTGTCAATAGCCAAATCACACTTTAATGTAGTGTCAACTATAAGGCAAATGACAATACAATAAAGGCAACACTCACTAAAAAATGATTACCGGATATTGAAACAACATATAAAATCGCATGATTTAAGTAAAGTGTAATTATGGATAAAAGAAAAGGCGACAATCAGTCCAAAGACCATTTTATCTACATATACATGTATATATACACAAATGAAAATGAGACTGATAAATTTGACATATATATGCAAATGCTGCAGTTACATTCCACGTAGCCACATCAACTTGCACTTGCTTCACTCTACCCCTTTCTGTTAAAATTTAAAACTACAATAGGTAAATATGTTCAAAAATGATATTTGTGTAATGACTGGCTAATAACTGATAATTAAAGTGAATCAATGGGGTAGAGGAGGATAACAAGAAAGAGAAAACTAGTTAACTAAAGAAATGTATACATATATATATGTTAGATAACTTAAACATATTGCTTCAATCACACCTGCTACTTGGATGTGGTGGTCTGGCTTGATGATTAGGATGACCCAGTCAAGCTATATTAGAGTATTCGCTCCTTTGCATCTTGACATGACAGGCAGGTAGGACGGAGAACGGTAAAACTAAAAGTAGCACTAAAGGTCTGAGGGCGGAATTGTACTGAGTTATGATAGAAGTGAACTGTTCCTTTCAGACAACCAACATCTGTTTTCTTCTCTGACTACAAAAGGAGAGGGTCAAAAAAGGTCGGCCATAATAATATCACACCTTACCTTATCACGCGTATTTATGATGTCCGAGATAAGGTCTTTAAAGTATTTAGTAGAAACATCAAGAACTCCCAAGAACGAGGTGTACGACTGACCAAAAGCAGCTGTACCTTGGAATCCACGAATGCGCCATCACGCCGCTAAGACCACTACTAATTTAATTATCTTTTTTGGGTAACTCAAAAAGAAGCACACTTACACGACAAAAGAAACCGGAAAGTAACAACTGCATCCACACTTTTAATAGAAGTCGAGAACCATAATATTACTGTTATCATACAGATAAAGAATAATAGTTAAAAAGTAGATAGAAAACAAACACATCAAAACCTGGAAATCAATCAGTTATTAATATCAGATGAGTTTTGTGGAGATTGTAGTAATTTTAATGGTGAGGAGTCCCACAACAGGACGAAAAGGCTGTCCAGTGCTTCCAGGTTTTCCATAGTGGTCTAGCTTCAACTGACTCATGATCTTAACCATTGAAATCAGTTATTAGATAGGCAATTCGAGATGTATGATATTTTAAAACTTAAACGAATTCAAATTTATAACGACTCAATTATTATTTATAGCCACCTGACGTTCACTTTACCGTATTTTTTATTTACAAAAACATACTACTTCTAATTCAAAACTGACACAAGTTTGTTGTCCCAAAAATTAAAATACTAATTAATTAAATATTGTAATTTGGAGGAATACGCAGACAGATTCAGGGAGAAAACTGTGATAACAGAAGTCAAGAAAATTGAGGACCAGTCAATTTATCCAATAGAGCAGACTGTGTGAAACAGAAAACAAGTGTATGATTAGTATTGTGTTCACCAATGAAATGATCTAAACGTTTTTAGTCTCAAAAAATAACCAACATGAAAATGTTTTTTATAGTTTACCAGTCTTTTTTATTATCGTTTTACAGTAGATAATATTAAGAGTATTGGTAAAATAAGTACCGTTG